CACTTCCAGGCTTTGGCGGCCCTCCGCCACCTCCACCTCTCCCAGGCTTTGGCGGCCCTCCACCTCCTCCACCTCTCCCAGGCTTTGGAGTCCCTCCACCTCCTCCTCTCCCAGGCTTTGGCGGCCCTCCACCTCCTCCACCTCTCCCAGGCTTTGGCGGCCCTCCGCCTCCTCCACCTCTCCCAGGCTTTGGCGGCCCTCCGCCTCCTCCACCTTTCCCTGGGATGGGTGGTCCACCACCTCCGCCACCTCTCCCTGGTATGGGTGGTCCACCACCTCCTCCACCTCTCCCTGGGATGGGTGGTCCACCACCTCCGCCACCTCTCCCTGGTATGGGAGGTCCACCACCTCCTCCACCTCCCCCTGGGATGGGTGGCCCTCCCCCTCCTCCTCTGCCAGGCGCTGGTCACCCAGCCCTCATCACGGCGACGTCACTGCCAAGGTATTATTCAGCGGCGCGGACCACGCCCTCTTTCTACAACACGCTGCCGCGTCCCACGCAGAAGATGAAGCACCTCAACTGGGCCAAGGTGAACGGCAACGTGCTAAACAATTCCATGTGGCAGGACGTCCACAAGGACCTCCAGGCGTCGCCGCCGAAAGCGCTCAATTTCTCTCAGATCGAAGAACTCTTCTGCCAGGCGTCGAAGACTCCAGTTCAGAAGACCGAGAAGAAGAAATCGACGGAGATCACTTTACTAGACCCGAAGAGGTCTCTCAACGTGAACATCTTCATGAAGCAGTTCAAGCAGTCTCACGCCGAGGTTGCGGCGCTCATCCGGGACTGCAAGAGTACGGACATCGGGACGGAAAGACTGCGAGGATTCTTGAGAATTCTGCCGGAGGACGAGGAGGTATGGCGTAGAATGTAGTGAAATCTAATCATTCTCAGCTTGCTCCATAATAGCATAAGTAAAATCATGCATTATAAGATATATTGTCCAAATATGTACTATTATCGATGCCGTCTTTCGCCAACAGGTTAGCATGATCAAAGATTTTAATGGGGACGTAGAGAAGCTTGGCAATGCAGAGCGCTTCTACTGGGAGTTGATCAAAGTACCTCACTACCAGGTGCGCCTTCAGGGAATGATCCAGGTAAGGCAGCGACACGGCCGTTACTGTGTGTGTGTGTGTGTGTGTGTGTGTGTGTGTGTGTGTGTGTGTGTGTGTGTGTGTGTGTGTGTGTGTGTGTGTGTGTGTGTGTGTGTGTGTGTGTGAATGAGAGAGAGAGAGAGAATAAGGATGAGAATTAGATTGCTAAATCATATCATTCATAGAGGATTATTTTCCCCAGATGGAGGAAGTGAAGCCGGCAGTGGACGAACTGAAGCCTCAGATCTCGATGATATTGAAGGTCTCAGATCAGGTTTTGAACAGCGAGAGCATCAAAGAATTCTTTGCTTATATCCTCACTGTCGGCAACTTCATTAACATGGTAAGTGGTTACAGTTACACACGATGCACCCATATTTAGCTTAATGCTTCTTGTAATTACCGATTTCCGTTTGATCTCGTTGCCTAACGTCTTAGTAGTCAAGAGAGGATGAATTCAGAATCTAGACTAGAATCAGAAAATAGGAATAGTTTACAAAGTTGTAGTAACCATATAGAAAATAATAAAATGGCCATATAGAAGATAATAAATCTTTGCTTCAAGGTAATGTAGTTAGTTTTACGGTCTCGTCTGAGGATCTTACCAAGAATGACGAAGAACTTTGTTAAAGTCACTAAATTTGTTTATATATCACCATGACAGGTGCACGCTCGCTCCCTCTTGAGCCACGTAATGATATCCATAATGTATTGCAGCGCACGACTGCCTAGTGTCTAATGCTTGCTGCTTAACTTAGAACTCTAGATGTTTGAAAACTTTCTTAATTACAATCTGCTTCTTTTAGCGCACGCACGGACTCGCATACATTCAGATAAGCGCACGTATCTCAAATCAAATAAGTGGCCCCGATTCTTACCTGTACACCTACGGACAGTCACACTAAAAAGCCACCTCGGACTCCCCTCAGGGCAGCTACGCGGGCAACGCTCTTGGCTTCCGTCTCAACACCGTGTCCAAGCTGTGGGAGACGCGAGGCAACCGACCCGGTATGACGCTGATGCATTACCTGGTCCAGTCCGCCCAGGACGAAGACCTAGAGATTCTGGACTTTACCGAGACGTTGGGCGACCTCAGTAAGGTTGCTAGGTAAGACTGATGAATTTTCTATGTATTTATATGCGTATTTGTGAAAATTTGTATGTACGCAACGGCATCCCCAAAAGAAGAAGAAAAAGAACGAGTATGGAGCAGATTTATGAAAAATATTAAATGGTACATATAGATCTGACTAGATTTCAGTGTAATTAAGAAGCCTCACTGTGCGTACTCGAAGGTATCGTCTCTAAATTAAGGTCTAAATTAAGGTCCAAATAACACAGGCATATTGATCAAAGTTTCATGAGATACAGGTAAGATATCCCAATATGAATGATTCATGATTTCCCCAAGATTGTCCGTGGACGGCCTAACGGGGGAGGTAACGACGCTGCGAGGAGACTACACACACCTCTGCAAAAGCCTCGAGAACGCGCCGGACGATGTCAAGGACCGTTTCAAAGGTGAGTTTTCCAGACAACAGCGTTTGTTTCTGATTTATTTTTGCTTGGCTTTGGTATTCTTAGGATGTGAAACTCGTAAGCAGAAACTGGACATGGGTATGCGTACACTTTATTTTAATCTTCTGATATTTTTATAGACTTTGTAGCCACTTCTGACGGATTGCTGAAGGATCTCGAGCAAAGTCTGAAGGAAGTGGAGCGCTCGCGAGTGAAGCTGGCGCAGTACTTCTGTGAAGACGAGTCTAAGTTCAAGATCGGGGAGTGCATTGGCATCTTCAACACCCTTTGCCTGAAAATAGCAGATGCAAGAAAGGTCAATATATGGCTCTGCTTTCTAATGATTACTATGGCCGATAGACAGCGAAATCCGTTGAGCTGAATTTAAAAGCACTCTTATCGCCTTTTACAGGACAACGAGGCGAGGAAGAAGCGAGAGGAGCGGAAGCGACGCATGGAGGCCGAGCGGAAGCGCGTGGAGGAGGAGCGGGCCAAGGCGGAGGCGGCGGGCGTCACCCTCAGGAAGAAGGGCGCGCCTCTACCGCCCCCCTCCGACTCAGGCGGATGTGTAATCGACCGCCTGCTGGCAGACATTAGGAAGGGAGACTTCAAGCTGAGGAAGAACCCCGTGTCAACAGCCCCGGCGGTTACGGGCTGAGATCGCCAGGAAACTTCAGTGGTTAAAAGTGTCTTTCCGAAAGGACTCGTCGAAAGGGGCGGATCTATTCGAGAATGCAGTCAAGCATTACAATGGAATTTGCAGTTCTAAGACTTTGCATAAAGAGAGAAACTGAAAGTCCAAACAAAAAAAATTGCCGGTGAGGAAGGTGGTGCGGACCCACTGTAAATTTAAGGAAGGAAAGAGGATGGAAGAGTGGAATTTATCTGAATGTAGTTGAAATTTGAAAGTAATAAGATATGAGATAATGATATACGAGAGTTAAATAAGGTTTATCTTGTATATCTTGCCACAGTGTTAACAGTGAAGACACTTTCCGGCTTGAAATTTGTAAAAAAAATATATATATATATTATCTTGTGGCAGACCCCTTGACACCCCAGATGTTATACATTCCTGAGACACCAGGCGAAAAATATGAACTTTAAAAATGCGTACTTACGCTGCAGTGGCTGCACGCATTGGTTGCCTTCTCTGCTGAATTTAGGTCTTTCAGGTGCTATTGTTATTACATGTGTTTTGTGTTATTTTGTATAGTAATATGTTTTACTAATAATCGTTGTTTGACTTTGCTTCCAGTAACAGGAAGATATAAATTATTCCAGAGATTCTTACATGGAGCTTATTTGTACGCTTATAAAAGTGCCTTTACAATATTTAAATACATGGTGATATCGCTAAATGTCTCTTATCTTTGTGAAAGGAGCAAATTGAATATATATGTTTCCTATCTAAGCGATTTACTGTAACCCTTATTTAATGCAACAATCTTTTCCAATAACTATAATGCATTAAACCAGTTTTAATACGAATATAACGTCGTTCTCATAATTAAGACATGGTCCTTCACAATCATAGGCGGCGGAGCAAGTCTATGACTGAGGGGGCGAATGTGAAAATGCATAGTTTGATGATCTTTTAGACAAAAAGCGCCTTTCACACAACAACATGCATGACACAGTTCTCACATAATGATATACTTAGCACATCAGTGTATTCAGTTCTGCGTTAAATAAATAATACCCAGAAGTAATATATCCATATGGCTTCCACAATGTATGAGTGTTAACTGTGTTTTGTTGTGGTGGGGTGGGGAGGGGGCGATTTGCTTAAAAAATAGATTACATGTCCATCCGCTAGTTAGGCGTTCAAGAGCCCAGGAAAGTCTTTCCTTTATTACATTATACTCCACTATACCTATGAAATAATTTTAATAAATCAAGTTCATGTCTACTGTAAGAGTGATACCCATTCTGGTAAAATGACATAAAATATAATTATAGTATATTTTTATTAGTCTGTGTGAACGTGTAAGCACAATTTTTTCAGCAATTTCAGGGGCGGGGGGGACGAGTGTATACTCTCGCCCCTCCAGTTTTCATTCTGGGGGGCACTCGCCCGTCTCCCCCCCCCCCCCCCCCGCTTCCGCCGCCTATGTTCACAATAACGAGGGAGAGAGAGATTTCTTAATACGTTCCACCAACAAACGGCAAAACACAGTCCCTCTGAACCGTGATGTTAGGTGGAAGGAGCCCTGGAAGAACATTGTTTTCGTGGTTCGTTCGTTCGTTGTTTTCTATGGTTCGTGTCAACATGTAGAAGATATAGTAAGATTATCAATTTCTAAGAATTATCACTGTTGTATCACGAATAAGAATTGGAAAACAAGGCATAACCTTGATAAATACAATTTCGTAATTAAATCGAC